TGTATTTTACAAAATACTAGTCGACTAAAACACAGTCAAGACAAGTTACTGTACAGACCAAAAGTCACCTTTATGTTATGTTATCCAATACACAATTTAAACATTTAAACTTTCTAACAAAAGAATTTTAATTCATGTGCATATTCTAACTTGCATACTTAAGATCAACAAGCCTGCCTATGACTAAAATTGAGGGATGAGAACAAATTATTAACTTTAGTGATAAGCTTTCAATCCTATCTTAGAGCCCATTATTAGTTTGTCAAGAAAGTTTTGAATTTGAGGAAAACTTAAAGTTTTTTTTATGAATATGTTGTTGCACTATGTTAGATATAAACAGATATGTATGAGAATGAAACCTTACCAGACATTCCCCCATTCAATCATGGTTCCTGGCTGAAAGTTGAAAAACAACAAATCAAATGAAAGAATAACAGACAAAAGGAAATAAAGTGTACAGTAAACAGAAGTTAATAGCCTAGGGTTTGATTTTAATGTTTTCATTTGTCACTTGCCAGAATACATTAATACATCACATTATATAGTTGAAAAATCATTGATGAACTGTACACCCACATAAAATTTACTGTTAAAAACATTTATAAATCCTCCACAAGAGGGTTAGTAAAGTGTTAATTAATAGTAAAGTATTTAAAACGATAAACACCAATAATGTGAAGAGCTGGTGTAATGTAAAAAAAACATTTATAATTTCAATTAAAAACTTAATGATTAAAGTGCTAGATATCTGTAATAATTAAAAACAAAAATAATTATAGTTTATGTGACAGAAAATTCTAGTTGGTGGAAACAAAATAAAATAAAATAGTTATTTATAATTCCAAATTAAACTGAGTAAAATATAATACATTTTAGTCATTCAGTAGCTGAATTCAAATGTCATTTAGTCTATACAAATGCTTTTATGAAAAAACAGAAGAATAACAAACAATAACAAATTGAATGGATCATTTAATATATTTTCATAAAAATTAACAGTTAACCAAATTACTATTTTACAATGTCACATTTGGTAAAACTGTAAAATTAATATGAAACAAAAATACAATGCATAAGCAACAATACAAATTACAATGATATAAATTAATTAAAATGATGTAAAAAGATAGCTAGAACAGAAACTAAAATTTTCATATATTTAATAAAAATATCCCTTAAATAAGCATTTCTAAATGGCCATCTAATGAAATTTACATTTATAAGATACCTCATTATAGTTGTAAAGTTCTATCAAAATGCTTAAAGGCTGCTCTTAAACACTAATTGCAACTACCAAAACAAGAAATTTGTTTACAACAGAAACACTAGTGATTGTTTAGTAATGAATGTAGATGTACGTACAGCATTATAGCACAATCTTTCTCTCCATACAATTTTCAGTTCTTACACAAGTAAATATAAATAACACACATCAGGGACTGTCACATCTGAAGAAGGGTAATATTTTAAGGTTCTTTATAACCTATTAATTCATTTTCATATTGATTTGAAAATTGTAAAGAAGCATTACTTATTTATAAAAGCTTAAAACTATTTTTAGGACAATATTATTTTTCTACACTTTCCCTTG